TCAACATTTTTCAAAGGATGATGCGTGAGAGACAGGGACGAAAAGAGGAAGGGGACCCACAAAGACTGCTTGTATAAAGGTCCCAGAATTTTGAGCTACACACTATACTGAGCACAGGATTTATGCAATGAGTAACTAATGATGTAGCTTTACTAGAGTTGTAATCAGAATCTCTTTATTTGCAATTTTTGCCTAGACAAATAATTTGCTGTCTGCATTTAACCCATACACTATTACAATTCATTTTCATATCACTCACTGTTCATATTGGGAACAGTGGGGTTCCATAGTCCGTTCAGACATGAAATGTCAGAAAATGGTGAAAAATGTTGATCACTGTCTTGTTTTGTCTTGTTTAATGTCATAGAGGACTAAAAAAAAACCGGAAAACATTCACATTTAAAGAAGGTGGATCTAGAGAATTTGGATATTTTCTCCAAGCTCTTGTAAACCTGACCACCACGCAGGAAGAAGGAGGCTGTTTTTTGTTCAAAGGGGCAATCGACTGACTCACAATCTCCTTTGCAAGACATGTGCCACTTCTGGTGGGTTACCTGCAACCCTAGCTTGGCAGAATCATTGAGACCAGCAAGAATTTTGTGTTTTCCTCCACATCAATGTTAGAACCTTGCAACATGCTGAATAATGACAATTTAATCATTGCAGTGGTTACTGGGGTAAGCATCAGAAGCAACAGCTTGTGCCGGGAGTGGGCCACAATGCTGAAAATATGTAGTAAATTCATATTAAAGGAGACCTATTTTCCAGTCCTATATTGTAGTTCTGTGACTCCTGTATGGCAACTTTGCATGATTCAATGTTCAGAAAAATATATTTTTTTCTTATACTGACTCTTCATGTAGGCCTTCATTTCAGCCTCTGTCTGAACAAGCTGCAGATGCTGCTGTCTCTTTAAGATTGGACAAGACCTGAAGCATGTTACCAGGCTGTTGTTGTTGCTGGGCGGAACAGGCAGACTGAGCATTGCCATGCCCTTAGTGTGGGAGCACATGACCATATATGGAACACCAGCTCCTTCTGGCTTGGTATTATGTAGAAAGGAGCCTTTGGTAGAAAAAGCAGTTCAAACAGAGCGGAAACCTGAGGTTTTTGCTCACAGTGATTTCTTATAAATGCTTGAACCTAATTTTTTGAAACTTTGGCTATGTTTAACATGAAAATCCAACATTATAACATATATGTACTGTATTGCAGTGTATCCATTTAATACACAAGTTGTGTTCCATTCTATTTGTATAGCTATGATAAAATACACAAGTATTATCAGCCTATCATCAGTCTGCCAGACTTATGACTTAACAGTAGAAAAGATACAGATGCACAAAAAAGTGAGTACACCCTTCACATTTTTGTAAATATTTGATTATATCTTTTCATGTGACAGCACTGAAGAAATGACACTTTGCTAAAATGTAAAGTAGTGAGTCAACAGTGTAAATTTGCTTTCCCCTCAACATAACACATCACACAGCCATTAATGTCTAAACCGCTGGCAACAAAAGTGTGTACACCCCTAATTGAATATGTCCTAACTGAGCTATTTTCCCTCTCCGGTGTTATGTGACTCGTTAGTGTCACAAGGTCTCTGGTGTGAATGCACCACCTTAGCAGACTAAGGAAATGGATTACTGGAACCATGTCCTGTGGTCTGATGAGACCAAGATAAACTTATTTGGTTAAGATGGTGTCAAGCGTGTGTGGCGGCAACCAGGTGAGGAGTACAAAGACAAGTTTGTATACAGTCCTTTTTATATACAGTCTATGATACAGTCAAGCATGGTGGTGGGAGTATCATGGTCTGGGGATGCGTGAGTGCTGCCGGCACTGGGGAGCTACAGTTCATTGAGGTAACCATGAATGCCAACATGTACTGTGACATACTGAAGCAGAGCATGATCCCATCCCATCCCTTTGGAGACTGGGCTGCAGGGCAGTATTCCAACATGATAACGACCCCAAACACACCTCCAAGACGACCACTGCCTTGCTTAAGAAGAGGTTAAAGGTGATGGACTGGCCAACCATGTCTCCAGACCTAAACCCTATTGAGCATCTGTGGGGCATCCTCAAACAGAAGATGGAGGAGCGCAAGGTCTCTAACATCCACCAGCTCCGTGATGTCATCATGGAGGAATGGAAAGGGACTCCAGTGGCAAACTGTGACGCTCTGGTGAACTCCATGCCCAAGAGGGTTAAGGCAGTGCTGGAAAATAATGATGGCCACACAATTCACTTTTGGACAGTAAATGTACACTGTTATACAAGCTGTACACTCACTACTTTACATTGTAGCAAAGTGTCATTTCTTCAGCGATGTCACATGAAAATAGATTTTCATTTACATTTTTGTAAATATGTGAGGGGTGTACTCATTTTTGTGAGATACTGCATATACTACAGATGAAGACGAAGAAGATGAAGAAGAGGAGAAGGGAAACTTGTCCCTTGAAGGTTTGGTTGGCAGTTACATTCTTATACATTTACATTTGTGTAAAACATATACTTCCTTTGTAGTCACCTTATAGTCTTCTTCAGTTTTCGTTGTTTGTGTGTAGGATTTAGTGGTATTTAATGGTGAGGTTGCAGATTGCAGCCTCACCCTTACCTTCCAAGTGTGTAGGAGCTATGGTGGACACAAAAAAAGTAAAAGGCCTTCTCTAGAGACAGTGTTTGGTTTGTACGTTCTGGGCTACTGTAGAAACATGGGTGTGCAACATGCGGACTCCGTGGAAGAGGTCCAAGCCGCCGTGCGCTGTGCTGTGAAGCCAATTTGACATAGACCAAAGCGGAAAAAAGGAAATATAACATCAGGGTCCAGGTTAGGGTTGACCAATCAAAAGCAGGACTTGAGACAAAGCTGGTGTCCGTCAATTGAAAGTTGTCAAAAATCTGGTGGTTGGCTGGTTGGTCGGCGCGTTATACAGAACTGAACCCCAGAATTCTCAATAGCTTCCTTCTTTAAAATCTTCTACAGTCAGAGGTGAGCTTTGTCTATTTTGGTTTTATACTGTGTCACTAAACAGGTCCCGCTGGTACAGCAGTAGGTCTGACCTTTTGGCGTTGCTCGCCATAGGCTATAGTGTATAACTCCTATAGGAAAACGGCCAATTTAAAACAACAACTAATTTAAACATTAAATTGCATATTTTGTGTTTAACCTTTCTTAGGGCTTTTGATTTTAGCCCTGTTTGTATTTCGATTTAATCTATTGTGTGGGAAGAGTTGATAATATTATTATATATATTATTTTTGTTGTGCAGTCTTGACTAAAGGTGTCTTTAATTTGAATTAGAATTGTCCTTGTTTTAGATTCAAGATGTAATGTCTATCTAAGAGACATTGGTTGGATGGTTGGTTGTTGGATTAACTGAAACAACCCATCCTTCCACTGTTTGTGGTAAGAATAAGCACTTACTCATTCCTTCTCACTAGGAAGGATTTAACTCTGAGCTAAGAACTAAAAATTCCTATTTGTGTGTGTGTGTGTGTGTGTGTGTGTGTGTGTGTGTGTGTGTGTGTGTGTGTGTGTGTGTGTGTGTTGTGTGTGTGTGTGTGTGTACAAAATCTTATTTAAACATTCTTAAACATTGGGCTCCTGATTCCTGAATCTTCTGTGCATCTGTGGTCCATAAACTTTAATTAAAATTCTAATTTAGCTTATCCACCTTGTTCTAGTTACACTGTGAAAGGAGCAGTGGATACATTTTTTAAGCAACCCCACAAAATGACTATCCCTACATCAAAATTTGATCCATTCGGTTAAATAGAAGAGCTGCACGATGAAATCATTTTTCTCCCATTGGGCTGCCATCATGACAGATGGAGGCAGGATTAAAGGAAACAATAGTTCCCTTGATCCTGTGGAGCCTCTCAATATGGAAGTTATGCAGAAGATCCAGTTAATTTTATACCAGGAAGTCGACCTTTTTTGGATTCAAGCACCACTTAGCAGGACCCGCCCTACCTGTGATTGGCTCAGCCTGATTATCATGTTTCTCATAGAGCCCTCGCTTGAAAGAACAGGAAGTTTTAGGCTATTCTGCTGTCTTCTGCAAATTAGCTTGGTATAGTTATTTTCTTTTAAATGCAGTCTATTTGTTCACAGTACAGATAGCAACCTAGTAAGTTGGGTTAGTTTTTTTTTCCCCGTCAAGAGAAGGGTGGTGAGAGGGCAAAGTAACGGTTTGCTATTAGACATAATGGTTGGAAAAGGTCGGCCTTTGCTTTTAATTTTCTCCGATACGAGCTACCTTTGGTGTGACTATAATAAAAAATGTGCTTACTTATAGTGGACAGAGGTTCATGCATTTTCCCCTAGTCACTCAGGAAAAAATATTTGCAAATCTGGGGAGGAAAAAAAAAGGGTCACTCCCTGGCCACCCACAGTGCAACTCTTAACACTGAGACATGGATATTCAAAGCCAAACAACAGCGTCTTCAGCAGTGTTTACATAGAGATGAGTATCAATTTAATCTAACTTCTTCATGACAGTACACCCCTATGCTGCTATCCTGATGAGACATAACGGTGTCACTTAACAATGTCGCTTGACTAGTCTCAACAAATGCCTGGGACTCCAGGTGAAGTGCATCCAATTTGATGGTTTTCTGTTCTCTTGCCACCATCATGAAAAATAAGAGAGAACGATGTTTTTGACGACCAAACAAAGATTTCTAGCATGATTTTAATCTATTATTTCTGGTCCAGCCATGCCTTCCAGTTTTCATATTGCTGTAATATTACTAATACAGTAATGTCAGCAAACGATGTTATAGTCGGTGTAAATGTCTGATAAATCGCATTAATATTCTCCTACATAGTATTATATTTATATATTTAATAAGACATTGTAGTTCTACAGTGTCACCTTGCCTGTTCTGCTTTTATTTTGAAAGGCGCCGTTTTCTTCTTATGTTTTTGTGACGCTAAACTTCCTGCTACTTTTCTCTTCACGATGTGGTGCTCACACGTCGTCGGAAGAACGGTAAGAAACTGGTAAACACGTTATTTATATTGTTCATCTATTTGAATCTTGTAAAGAAGGAGTTTACATTGTGATTTTATTATTTTCGTATTGTTTGTACATGTTATTTCTAAGACCTACGAACTGTGAACGTGTGTCGAGCTAGAGAGCGTGATAGCCGATGGCGAAAACCATTTGATTAGCGTCCTTGGAGAGCGGAATGAGGTATGAAAGAAAATGTGTCTAGTGTATTATTATCAGAAGGGATTTTGTTTAAGGAAAGGAGAATGTCATTACTTCATTTGTTTATGGGTTAATTGCACATGTCGTCAATATAAAAGCAATATTATTTCTGTGAACAATTATAATATATTGTATTTCATTTAAAGGCATGTGATATTTATTTGTCATAAAGGCTTAAAAATATTTCATTTCATATTGGTTGTTAGTTAAATGATTTGTATTGTGTGTAAACATGATTAATATGTGAACACAAGTTATGTGCAAATTATTTGTGAAGCTACATAGAAGCCTTTTGTGTTTCTTCTGTTTTATTCTGTAGTTTTCACGGTGTTCATGGTGCATGGTGCACGTTGAGAGGAATAATAAATCGACACCCGTTTGAAACTCTCTGCGTCTTGATCAATAAATCCAAGGGGCCGCTACAGTCGGTATGTCCACCGTGCACCAGGAAAACACATTTGGCAACCAAATCCAGCCCCTGCTTGCAATCATGTTAGCTAAACTGAAGGTTTATCAATGCCATTTGGAATGGTTTTCGGTACAGTTTGCATTGTCATCAGTTGAACTATCAGTCTGTTTCTCTATAAATCCAAAGTTAGATGTTGCTTACCAAGAGAAATTTTGGGAGGTCAGCATCAAACCGCATCTCTTTACTTGTTAGGAGCTATCTCCAGCTGCAGAAAGCCACGGTAATATTTTCTCGTTTAGCTCCTTTTTAAATCAGTTCTTTTCTTTGCCATCTTTGTGTTTCTCTAAGACTAACCGCAGCTGTAAGTTACCTTCAACTTATTACTTTACTCCAAAGCGCTCAACATGACAAACCCTAGCAGTAACTCTACATTTTTGTCTCATGGACTGAGGTCAGACTGGACGCTATAGCTACAGTCTCTCGAGGCGCAAGTGATATTACAACACAGGACAGGTCGAGGCTAGCAGATTAGCATGCTAATTTTAACGGATATCTCAGCAAAACAATACCTAGATGTCTTTGACATGACATCAGTATGGTTACTTTTTCACATTCTGTTTTATGAAATTTTTTAAAAAATTTGTAAACATTGTACCTTTAAGTAGATGTTCCTAATTATACTTACATACTTTTACTGCATTGTAACATTTTTATTGCACCGTTACTTGCAACAGAGTAGGCTAATTGTATTGAGTGTTGTATTAGTATTTTTACTTAAGTAAATGATCTGAATACTTCCTCCACAACTGTATGAAACACACAGATGTATTGTGGGCTATAGGGAGGAAACAGAGAAAGCTTAGTTTGGACCTACCCTCAGATTATCGTCAGGCTCTACATTCTTCTCTACATTGTCACGCGTACCTCAGGTTTCATCAGTCTAAACCTACAGTCTATGCCTACAGGCAGAATTCATTTCAGAAGTGTTAAAGTGTTAGTATGTGTAGCGGTATATTGCCTGAAGATTTAACATGAACAAGTTTCAATTCAATTTCAGTTTTCTTGGAACAAGTAGCCTACTTACTGTTGTAATGTGAAGAAAGCAATATGAGAATATTGTCTCCCACATCCAACTTAATGGCTCTAAATGAGACTTGGCGGTCACACACCTCTACTTCTGGTGCCAATGTCTACAATAAACATTTTAAAGCTAGGGTAGGTAAAGTTGGAGATCTAGCAGGAGACAGCATTTTTAAACCAAATAAATCTCCCTCCTTCCCTTCAGGCCTCCCTCGACAGCCACTCCCCCAAACACCTTTTCAAGTCTAATAAGTGCACGGACAGAGTATGTGCAAGTAGGCAGTTAGACAAGGTGGGAAGGCCAGCCAGACGTGCTTATTGCACTCTTGTCATAGCCACAGATAGCGGATTTTTTAAATTTTTGTCTCAGAGCATTTGATTTATTGATTGCTGTCGGGATTTAAAGAATTTTAACAAATATAACAAAAATGCTTCTGAAATAAACTGCCTACCCTAGCTTAAACATACAGTTGTAGCATTTCCATTTGATATCTGTTTAAGTAGCATATTGCCAGTCTCACATGTTAGCATGTTAACAGCTAATATTCACCTGGTAGCATTTAGGCCTGTCAGTTTGCCTGTAAGGTTGATAACATGCAAACAGACAGACCTGGTTCCCTGAGACACACACACACACACACACACACTTTATTTTACAAAAATTTTAGTAAAACAGAACCAAACGAACATGTTGCTCTCAAGAAGAGTGGTGGCAAAAGGAGCAAATATTTGTAGAAGGGCATCCTGGCTCTGGTTAAACCTACATCTGTCCTACTGTCCACCTGGAGTAGTAACTAGTATAAATTGGTGTACAATATAATAGTACAATATTTTAACAATAAATAAAAGGTTTAATGTTAGTATAATACTAATATATTTATAGGTTACACTTTATTTGGCTCATGTCTGCCTACAGATTGTTTATAGTAGGCCTACACTCACCAGTCACAGATGTGGTCAAGACAACTTGATGAAGTTCAAACCGAGCATCAGAATGGGGAAGAAAGGGGATTTAAGTGACTTTGGATGTGGCATGGTTGTGGGTGCAGAAACTGCTGATCTACTGATTAAAGAGAATGGTCCGTGAGCGGCAGTTGTGTTTGTGCCTTGTTGATGTCAGAGGTCAGAGGAGAATGGGCAGACTGGTTTGAGATACCTTGAAGCAGATGTACTCTACAGCAGCAAAAGACCACACCGGGTGCCACTCCTGTCAGATAAGAACAGGAAACTGAGGCTACAATTCGCACAGGGTCACCAAAACTGGACAATAGAAGATTGGAAAAATGTTGCCTGGCATGAAAGCATTGATCCATCCTGCCTTGTATCAACGGTTCAGGCAGGTGGTGTAATGTTGGGGGGGCACACTTTGGGCCCCTTAGTACCAACAGAGCATCATTTAAGCACGACAGTGTTCCTGAGTATTATTGTTGACCATGTCCATCCCTTTATGACCACAGTGTACCCATCTTGTGATGGCTACTTCGAGGCAGGATAATGCACCATGTCACAAAGCTCAAATCATCTCAAACTGGTTTCTTGAACATGACAATGAGTTCACTGTACTCCAATGGACTCCACAGTCACCAGATCTCAATCCAATAGAGCACCTTTGGGATGTGGTGGAACGGGAGATTTGCATCATGGATGTGCAGCTGACAAACTGCAGCGACTGCTTGATGCTATCATGTCAATATGGACCAAAGTCTCTGAGGAATGTTTCCAAAACCTTGTTGAAAGTATGCCACGAAGAATTAAGGCAGTTCTGAAGGAAAAGGGGGTCCAACCCAGTGCTAGGAAGGTGTAACTAATAAAGTATGTGAACATTTCCACGGCTTATTGATATTTAACAATTCAACTGATTCACAAATAAAACCATTTTGTCTTCGTAAGGTTTGATTAGGGCCAATATTAGTGCATTCATTATAATTTCAGATAATAGTATCTTATATAGCCTTCAACTAGTATATTATTCCGTCACCGCCGGTAGAGAGGGTAGACAAGAGTAACATTACCGGCAGCTAGAGAGAAGTGCCGGTATGCAAGAAAAAGTTCTGGTACAGAGTAAAATGTGCAGGTATTTGAAAATACACAAAATGAATGCCGACTGTAGAAAGTAAAAGCTGAAAAAAAGAGTATCCAGGAAAAAGAGGCCGTATGCAAAAAGAACTCCAATTTCATTAGAAATAATGTTAAAATGACCCTATTTCCCACTTGATTTATTACCTCAGTAAACACTTTTCTAATGAGTTTCTCAGTCTTCTTCAATACAGTATGAAGTTCATTTTGTAAATGATGGTCCCATTTAGAGGAAAATAGATGATAAAGCATCATATGCTTTAGGACGGGACTACTTTATGATTGACAAGTCGCTACCATGGCGACTGGTCTATCATGCTAGAGGCAACTCGTAACCACTGCACAAGGAGTCAGCTGTTCATTTCAGTCAGGGTTGCAATTCACATCCCTCATCACCAATAGAAGCCACTAAAACTTTAACATTCAACCTTTGAGCCTGTTTTTCACTAGCCAAAATTAGCATCCCGTTTATAATCCTCAGTAAACGCTAGCGCCACCATCTTGTCCAAATATCGTCATGTCCGGTGCCTGGTTGCAAAAAATCAAGATGCCGCAGATCAAAATGCCAAACTCAGCCGTCAAAACTGTAGTCCACAAACCAATCGGTGACGTCACTGTGACAACATCCACTTCATTTTCAGTCTATAGTAGCCAACTAGCTTACCTTACAGCTAAAACATTAGCACTAACAACTTGCATGAATGATATCTATATCGACACACAATAAACATGATTTAAGTTTGATGAGTTTAACAACAAAGCAGGTTATGCTATAACAGAAATAAATGAAGTAAAAAAAAACTTTCTTAGTTTAAAATCATTTTTAGGGCCCGAGCACAAACCGTGCGAGGTCCCTATTGAAACTGAAAAGATTATTTTTAGGGCCCGAGCACGAACCGAACGAGGTCCCTATTGAAACTGAAAAGATTATTTTTAGGGCCCGAGCACGAACCGTTCGAGGTCCCTATTGAAACTGAAAAGATTATTTTTAGGGCCCGAGCACGAACCGAACGAGGTCCCTATTGAAACTGAAAAGATTATTTTTAGGGCCCGAGCACGAACCGAACGAGGTCCCTATTGAAACTGAAAAGATTATTTTTAGGGCCCGAGCACGAACCGTTCGAGGTCCCTATTGAAACTGAAAAGATTATTTTTAGGGCCCGAGCACGAACCGTACGAGGTCCCTATTGAAACTCAAAAGATTATTTTTAGGGCCCGAGCACGAATTGTGCGAGGTCCCTATTGAAACTGTAAAGATTTTATTTATTTTTTCCTGCAGAGTAAGCTCAATTTTGGGGGCCTAAACATACTTGAAAACTCACCAAACTTTGCACACATGTCAGAAGTGGTGAAAAATTTCGTATATTTCGTAGTTTCGCAAATGGCCGTGGCAAAATGAATTGCTAGCGCCACCTAGAAAATTGGAAAAAATTAGCCCCTCGTCCACGTTCAGCTTACATGCCCGAAATGTTCAGGGGACATGTATCATATCAAGACGCACAAAAAAGCCTCAAGAACCCATACCCTAAACTCAACAGGAAGTCGGCCATTTTGAATTTTAGTTTTTGTCAATGGGCGTGTCCGTGGCGTGGCGTCAAAGATCAACTCTTTGCCATGACACAGGAAGTTGTTGTAACTTCAGTGTACATGCTCACATCTGCGCAAAAATTTACATGCTTGATAACTGTCCCACCCCGAACACATCTACACGCCAGTATTCATTTATATTCATAGCGCCAAGTGCTATGTAGCGCCACAAAGGGGACACAGGAAGTGACGTCTAACACCTTCATGCGAAGCGCGTAGCAAATACACAGCGGCACCGGCAGAGCTGCAGAATATGCAGCGCGGTTGCCTCACACCGCGACACGCTACTTGTGCGAGGGCCCGCCCAACGCTGCTTGCAGCTTTAATTTGTTCCATTTGTTCCGGACATTGCGCTGACCCCGCATGGTGATTTCCCGCACAGTGAATGCACTTTACTTTTTCCTGCTCCTCTTCACACTCCTCTCTTTCACAGTTGTTCTTCCTACATCTCCCACATCTTCTGACTCCTCTACATACTGCAGCCACATGTCCATATGCCTGACAACAGAAGCACCTTAATAGAGCTCTTTCATAAGGCCTCACCCTGTAACATATGTAATCTAAATATACCCTTTCTGGTAAATCTCCTTCAAAAGTCAAACACAGAGTTACTTTGCTCCCTTTCTCCTTGACACTTGTAGGTCTTCTCGCCTCACAAACAGCTTCAATACCCCAAAATTCCTCGTCTTCTTCTACGCCACTTATTACTTCTTTCTTTTTGATTTCTAACCCGAGTGGGAAGCATTTCAAACTGCAATAATCATCATACTTTTTAATCCTCAAATCTCTCTGCTGCCTTGACACACAGTCAATGATAAGTCCACTCCTTGTTATTTTAAATGACCGAACATCTCCGAATTTTTCTCCAGTAATCTTTCCAACCTCGTGCGAATCCTTGAAGATCCCATCTGTTCTTGTCACTGCTATCATACCCACTCGATACATCTCATCAGTTTTTTTCGCCTGGCTGCCATCACTTGAAACACTATCCTTCTTCCTTTTCCTATTCACAAATGCTCGTGTGCTCTTCCTTTCCTGCTTCACTCTCCACGCTCTCCTCTGACTCCATCTTCCACCTCTGAGGCGTGTCAAATTACATGTCACCAAAATACCTAATTTCTGTATTTAACATTGTAATGTTCAACCAAAACCACAGTGGCTACAGGTAGAAAGCTGCTTAATGTCAAATTCCCTGGCAAGAGTCAAAAGAATTTGTTTTAAAATATCTCTGAATCATAAATGTTCTTTGTTTGGAAGGAAATCTTTCTTTGCTGAATGTAATTGTCTAAGGGGTTCTGTTGCCAAAAACAACATTTGTGTCTAACATCCTATTGAAATTAGTGATCATGCTTTTCAATAATACAGGTAGGAAAATACCAGGATGGGCGTCACCTTTGATGCCACAAAAGTATTTTTTAAAAGAGTGTTGACTTAAGTAGTGCTGTACCTTGGCCACTACAAAAAAATGTTTTGTGCTTGGCAAGTGTCCATTAAATTTATGTAACAGGGCACCTCAAACTTAGTTAATTGGCAAACAGTTAAACCACATTCCTAAATCAAAATATTAAACTGCAGGTATTTATGGCAACAGTACCCATTTGTCAAATAATGATAAATCGTGTTGAGCATTAACATTTTATCTTGTATCATATTAGGTGAAATAATGTTAAGCTAAATTTGTTTGTTCACATTAGCATTCATTTGGAGCTGAGTTTCTGGCCAAGTGATGAATTTCCAATACTCTCTCCTTTCAACTCTTCTGGGGGAAATATCTGCCTCTTTAGCTGCTAAATGAAAATTACCTAGTGAAGTGAAAGCTTTTGTAATTAAAACAGTTGCCCGCTGAGTCAGGAAATGTCAATGATGCGTGCTGAGAGTGGACCAAAACGGTAAAACCAAAACCATGAGCAGATAGACACTGTAACACTCTGTAGAGCTGAGGGGAAGTGTAGACATGATGATCGTTGTCTTAGGGTTTGGAGTGATCCTTTTCACGTTACATATTTGTAAATATAGCTGTCAAGGTTTACATATTGATTGTAGCTGCTTTAGATTAACATCCTGTGCAAAAGAATCAAAATATTTTTTAGATATTTTTGAAAGCAGTCACATTCCTCCATCCTGGAAACGATATGCGTCCCCGTGACTTACAGAACTAAAACTAAAATCCCCAAGAGTGAGGACTGCAGTTTGATCCTAAAAACTCAAAAGGTACAAATGGCCCACATTGTCTGTGTGGCAACCTCTACACTCATCAAGAGGATGGGTCTGTGGTTTCTGTGAGACAAATCACGTGGGTGTAATGTTTCAAGAGTTATGATAATATTATACAGTACAGTATGTTGCTTTTACAGTACAACATGTTTGTTCTGTCTCAAGGAGATAGGTGTTGAATACAACCTTAGGAGTTCTTAGGAGGACAAGGAATGAACAACAGACAAACAGAACAGGAAGGTAAGGAACATGAATGCTGCCATCAACTGGTCGACTGATAATTTACATGTCTACGAAACTTAATTTCACGACAAAAGGAGGCCAATATTTTTTAAAATAATTTTTCATTTTATTTTCAATTACATGTCAAGATTCAAAGTTACAGACAGACAGTAAAAAACAGTGTACAGTAAATATCGAATTAACAGGTTTGTTATTATATAATTTTGTTGTATATGGCACTGAGCTCAGCCCGAAGTTTCTTGAAAGACGGTCGGTTTCTGGGCTCATACTGCCAGCAGTTGCTCATAATCCTGGATATTTCCACGGGGCAGCCATGTGGGGCAGACATACGGTATCCTGAAACACATCACAGACCTTCTAAACAGGGATTGAGATCATCTTAGCACATTCTACACATTTTCTGATGCAAGCACTGTCATAATCATAATCAGTGGCATCTCAACACAAGTGCTCCTGAATGCCTGATATGAGTATTTACCTTTGTCCACCTCTTCTCGTGTCTGCTGGTTGGTCATGCTCGTGTAGGGCGTCATTCCCATGGAGAAGGTCTCCCACAGTAAGACACCAAAGCTCCAGACATCACTCTCTGTGGTATAGCGACCTGAAAACACCAGCAGGGGGCAGCATTGGCAAAGGCACGGACACATGTCAGTTTTTAATTGACTACTGGCAGAGAAAAACAAGTGTGTCTGGTCTGGTTGTGACTGCAGGGCAAAGGCATTTGTGGCATACCATAGTTAAGGGCTTCAGGAGCTGTCCATTTGACAGGGATCTGTCTGAGGCCACCCTCCGTAGAGTAGACACCGTCGTCTTGCTGACGGGACATCCCAAAGTCACTGATCTTCACTAAGTTGTGTTCTGTAACCAAACAGTTTCTTGCTGCCAGGTCCCTTTTAAAAAGGGCAACAAGACAGAGGGAGAAGGATGTAAGAGGAATTTACTCAGAGGCTTCAAAAGACAGAAGCATCATGCTCTCTATAAAAAAAAGGCCAAACAGAAAGAGAACAGACAGGACTATAAAGAGTGAGAGTAAAGGCGTTCTTGTCATGTCTGTGGTGCTGCATGTGAGGCCGTTTGTGATGAGTCACTGAAAGCACCGCAGTTGCTCCCACGCAACAACAGATCCCCAAATACACTTCAAAAACCATGCATACGTTTCCTTTTCAGTTCGCATCATTTACAGTATTTTTACACAAAAAACAGCAGTTCAGTTTTGCATATTCTTGTTTTTTCAGATCGCAGTGTTTTAAAATTTTTCTTTTAATAAATGCTTTGAAAGCAAGTTTCTGTGTAGCTACAGCCGGGGTTGTGAGTTAGTTTTCCTCTTGGTTTGTACCACCCATTTCAGCATCCTTAAATGTTTAAATACTTTTTATAGATTTTTATGTGAAGCACTTTGAGCCAAATATTATGTATGAAAGTTGCAAACATATTATTATTATTACTAATATTATAATAAAGAGAACTAGCAATTAATGAACCGATAATCTTGATATGCACACAATCAACAATGAAGATCCGGAGTCATACAGCCAGCACATCTTCCACCACATTTTATCCAAAGCGCTTTACAAGGTTTTTCCTCTGTCATTCAAACACTAATGGCAGTGAGCTACCACGCAGGGTGCTGTCTAACCACTGGGAGCAATTTGGGGGACAGTGTCTTGCCAAAGGACACTTCAACATTTGACACAGGAGGCGGTGGGGATAAAACCCACAATCCTGTTATCAGTGGACGACCCACTCTGCCTTCTGAGCCACATTAAAATGTCTAATTTCTAATAAATTAACAAACAGCCTGCTCTGTGGCTCTCTGCACACACTTTTATATGTTTATTTGGGAGAGTTCCATTTTATTTCTCACATTTTACTCTCGTGGTCTTGAGTTTGAAAACACTTGTTGTAAGTTGCTTTGGACAGAAAAACACAGAAGTGTTCCAAATGAATGTAATGTAGGGCTATCTAAAGTGAAAAAAAATTGTAGGGCAGCCAGTGAATCACATTTTAGCTTCCTCTTCAAGGACACAATCCATATCAGTTATCATTTTTTATCGACTGTTTGATTGCTACATCAACACATGGGAAGTGCTGGGGGGAAGATGCAGTATGCTTAGCAATTGGATGATGTGAATATTGGGGAAGTAGATTATGTTTAGTATTGAACTGTAATGGCTTTGAGGTCCATGTGCAACTCATAGGACTCTGGAACCATCACTTTTCTAACACTGAAGAGGAAGAAGAGGCGAAGGGAAACTTGTCCAACTGAATAACACCTTCCTCACCCTTCTCTTCCAAGTGTGAAGGAGAACCTATTGTGGGGGCAAACCTTGCAAAAAACACAAAAGGCCCCCTCTAAATAAAGTTTTGTGTTTGTCCGTCCTGGGCTACTGTAGAAACATGGCAGTGCAATCGACAATCACGTTTCTCATATAGCCCTGGCTGAAAGAACAGGAAGTTTTTGCCCTTCTGCCGTCTTCTGCAAATTAGTTTGAAATTATTAAGCCGTCATAATTTCTTCTAAATGCAGTCTATTTGTCAAAGCCTGATATCCACTATCAACTCCATCTCCTGTAAAAATGAAATTATCTTGCTTGTGGTTTTCAATAAAAACTGGTTAGATAAATCCTCTGATAAAGTGAAATACTTCATGAGTCCCTATCTATCGCTCAAGCATTCAATCACCATTTCTCCTCTGTTTGTTCTACCTTACTACCCAAATCTGATCCGAGTACTGGCTTTTTAAAAAATACTTTGCCCAGTCACAGTTCTTTTTCTTTTAGGAAAATTCAACAGTGGTGCTGGAAGGTTTAAAAAATAAGTTAATCAAACTAGCGTCCCATATACTTCTATCCACTTACTGATTTAGTCAATCTCTCTCTGTCTGCATGCCATCTAGCAGCCATCTGGAAATGTGCACGCATCACTCCAATACATAAAGGAGGAGATGTATTAGATCTTAATAATTATAGACCCATATCTATTATATGTTGTTATTAGAAGTGCTTGAAAAATTAATTTATAATCAACTCTCACATTATCTTAGTACCAACAATATCTTATCACCATTTCAATCTGGCTTTAGGTCTAAACACTCTACATCTACTGCCCTTCTTAAATTCACCAATGTGTTCTCTGCTGCAGATAATGGTTAACCTGCAGGTGCAATATTTATTGACTTGACTAAAGCTTTTGACTTTGTTGATCGCTATTTACTTTTAGATAAACTCCATGCTATTGGCCTTTGTGAAAATGCAGTCCTGTGGTTTAGTTCATATCTCCACAATAGAAAACAATGTCATCCTACATGAGAATAAATCTAATTTGTTGATTCAACAAAGAGGTGTGCCCCAGGGCTCAATTTAGGACCACTTCTTTTTTCTATCTATGTTAATAACTTACCATAAATTTTCAATAACTGTTGTGCTCAACTTTATGCCGATGACACTGTCTTATATACACATCAAAACCTGATCTTCCACAAATCCAAGCATGTCTTCAGTATGATTTCAAAATCTTACAAGATTGGCTTTTTCATAATAAACTATTGCTCAACAAAACAAAATCATATCTTATGATTTTTGGTACCAGACAGAAACTCAAATCCAAACCTGATTCTTGTATAATAACTTTTTCTGACTGTACTCCTCTGCTTAAAGTTGAAAAATTTTAATATCTTGGTGTATGGCTTGATTCTGAGTTCTCTTTCAAACCACATATTGATCATGTCTTACGTAAAGTCAACTATGGAATTAATGTTCTACATCTATCTCGAAACTGCTTTACGCATAGTGTGCGTAAGAAACTTGCCTCTCAACTTACACTTCTGATTTTTGACTATTGTGATGTTGTTTATCAAAACTCTTTATCAAGACCTTTGCCATCTTAAAACAGCATATAACAGACAGATTTGTCCTTGGATGTCCCTTTCTCATGCATCACTGTACAATGTATGATGCTCTTAAATGGCCATCTCTAAACATAAGAAGACAAATTCACTGGCTTCAACGTATATTCAAGTGTATTCATTTCAATTACCCATCTTATTTACAACAGTATCTTGTTCCTGTTATTTCAAATTATCAATTGAGGCACTCTGCTCAGCTTTATTTTTCTGTCCCTCAAGCTAAGAAATCAGTTGGCAAAAGAGCTTTTATGATTAAAGCCCCATTGGATTGGAATAACTTACCTTCTGATATTAGATACATTGCTTCATTTGGGATGTTTAGGCATACCCTGTCTGCTTACTTTGAGAATGACTGCTCATGTAAAGAATGATGCTGACACATTGTATATATCCTATACTAAAATTAATTGTATTTTTATTTTGTGATCCACGTACATACAGTTTCATATGTATTATTGGCCAGTTTGACCATCTAGTGGATGTAAAGTTCTTTATATTTCTGTAATTATTATTGTTTTTTTGTTTTGTTATTTGTTGTTGTTTTTCTCTGTTGTTGTTGTTGCTCTGTATTGGTGGTTCTGTGTGTGTTTATCTGTTGTCTGGCTGTACATTGACAAATGTATAATTGTACTTTTCTTTTTTTGTCACTGTTCTTTTGTGATGGGTTGTGATGTATTTTAGGACCCCCTCGAAAATCCTAACAAATAAATTTGAATTGAAAGTTAGAAAACATACTAATTTGGTCTGTATTTTTGCTTTTTCACGGACAACAGAGGTCAGAGGGCCATGGGTTAAAGATGATGATACACGTCAATGGTAATGAGTAAGATTACTGGTTCTCAGCAGGAAACAGATGGACTGGTGCCAGGTAGGGAATAAGTCCTTACCCCAAGGGAGGGAGTTCAAGTATCTGTTGTCTTGTTCGCGAGTGAGGGACAATGGCGTGTTAGATTGGCCCGGAGAATCAGAGCAGTTGGGGCAGTATTGCATTCGCTTTACCGCACCGTTGTGACGAAACGATTTAGCGGTCAATTTTCGTTCCTATTCTCACCTATGGTCATGAAGGCTGGGTCATGACCAAAAGAACTAGATAACGGGTACAAGCGGATGAAATGGGTTTTCTCTGGAGGGAGGCTGGCATCTCCCTTAGAGATGGGGTGAGAAGCCAAGTCATCTGTGAGGAACTCTGAGCAGAGCCGCTGCTCCTTTGCATCATAAGGAGCCTGTTGAGGTGATTCGGGCATCTAGTAAGAATGCCCGCTGGGTGCCTCCCTAGGGAGATGTTCTGGGCACGTCCAGCTGGGAAGAGGCCTCAGGGAAGACCCAGGACCTGGTGGACAGATTATATCTCCACACTGGCCTGGGAACGCCTCGGAATCCCCCAGTCAGCGCTGGTTAATGGGGCTCGGGAAAGGGAGGTTTAGGGTCCCCTGCTGGAGCTGCTGCCCCCCGCAACCTGACCTCAGGTAAGTGGTTGAAGATGGATGGATGGATGGACTGTAATGACAGCTGGTTGTGATGGTCAGTGCTGGGATTCACCCTTCACTGTCCACCTTAATGTATAGTGTTATAGAGTACTGGCATTTATAGGTTGGCAAACCACTCTTTGAAGCTGTGTTTACGTTTGGTCGTTATTGGTCCCTGATTCCAGGATAGTGCCATTGTATTTATTTATTAATTTTAAAATGTAATATTTATAACTTTATTAATATTTCCAAATTTCTTTGATATTTGCTAATAACCAAACACAATTTTACCTGTTCCTGATTTAATGATTAGACCTATTGTCCCTGTAAAGGAAAGGGGGCTACACAAATATTAGGGCTGCACGATTTGAAGAAAAAGTCATATTGCGATTATTGTGGATAATATTGGGATTGCGAGGAAGGGGAGCGTGTTGCTCTACGGAGGAGGCGGCTAGAAGCAACAAATATTGGCACACTGGCACAGGCTCAATGAACATCTTTCTAATGCAGAGTCTCTATCCACAACCTGGAGGAGGAACTGTACATGAGTGTACTAAATAAAGAGTATAATGTTTAGTTAATAGTTTACTGTTAGTATAACAATAATATATTAAATACTACATTCATTAGAATTTCATTTAATAGTATACTATTTTACCACTTGTTGAATATTAAAACCAGTTACAGCTGTTTCACTTCTGTGGTTTGTTTTTATTCATTAAATCTTTGTGCAAGCGAAAGGCTCTACATCGGTCTCTAATTTGTGAATGCTGAATCCTAACTTGTCAATAATCATATTGTTCAACATTTAAAGATTTGCTGTTGCATGTCAAACTCCATACAATCTGTGATTGGTCAGTTGACGAAAAGTGACTGACAAGCACGCCGGCTCTGTGAATGTTGAGCATGTTGAACAACAAAAGGTGCCAATAAAAGTCCTTATAGGATGTCTCTGATACAGCTAACGTAAAATGGGCCAGCTGCAGACGATGTCTCTCTGATTGCTATTAGAATAATCGTGCAGCCCCCAAAATATTGATTGATTGATTGACCAACCTGTGGATACACTTCTTGCTCTCCAGGTACTCCATGCCAGATGCTACATTTTCTGTCATTTTGACCAGCATCTTAGGATTCAGACTGTGACTCTCACGCCGCAAGAAGGAGAGAAAATCACCACCTTTTTAAATGTATAGACACACACACACACACACACACACACACACACACACACACATATTGAGTGATGATGGAGGAACAAAGTGGTAACAATGGTACAATAAAGCTTGCAGCTGGTAGGTAAACAAACTGAGATATAAAGTTCAACAGGATCATATTTACCTTTAATGAGTTCCATGACAATGTATATTGGCTGTTTCTGAGTGCACACTCCTATCAGTTTCACAATGTTAGGATGATCGTACTGCTTCAAGATCCTGGACAGTACAGGAGAATCACAGATAGGTGTGTGTGTGTGTGTGTGTGTGTGTGTGTGTGTGTGTGTGTGTGTGTGTGTGTGTGTGTGTGTAAATGCATAATACATGTGTGTGCGTATGTGTTGCAGCGTGCTTGTGTTTGCGTATACTAACCTGGCTTCCATCAGGAACTTACTCTTGTGCTCTGGGGCCAGGTTTTCTTTACAAGATTTTACCGCTACACAAGTGTTATCAGAGCGTAAACGACCACTGTACACTTCTCCAAAGTTACCCTGCGGACACCATAATGATCAGATCAACTCTCTTTTCTATCTCAGCAGGGTACATACACTCACCTAAAGGATTATTAGGAACACCTGTTCAATTTCTCATTAATGCAATTATCTAATCAACCAATCACATGGCAGTTGCTTCAATGCATTTAGGGGTGTGGTCCTGGTCAAGACAATCTCCTGAACTCCAAACTGAATGTCAGAATGGGAAAGAAAGGTGATTTAAGCAATTTTGAGCGTGGCATGGTTGTTGGTGCCAGACGGGCCGGTCTGAGTATTTCACAATCTGCTCAGTTACTAGTTTTTTGGCGAAACTGACTAGAATTTGGCGTAAACAGAATGAGAACATGGATCCATCGTGCCTTGTTACCACTGTGCAGGCTGGTGGTGGTGGTGTAATGGTGTGGGGGATGTTTACTTGGCACACTTTAGGCCCCTTAGTGCCAATTGGGCATCCCTTTATGGCCACCATGTACCCATCCTCTGATGGCTACTTCCAGCAGGATAATGCACCGTGTCACAAAGCTCGAATCATTTCAAATTGGTTTCTTGAACATGACAATGAGTTCACTGTACTAAAATGGCCCCCACAGTCACCAGATCTCAACCCAATAGAGCATCTTTGGGATGTGGTGGAACGGGAGCTTCGTGCCCTGGATGTGCATCCCACAAATCTCCATCAACTGCAAGATGCTATCCTATCAATATGGGCCAACGTTTCTAAAGAATGCTTTCAGCACCTTGTTGAATGAATGCCACGTAGAATTAAGGCAGTTCTGAAGGGGAAAGGGGGTCAAACACAGCATTAGTATGGTGTTCCTAATAATCCTTTAGGTGAGTGTATAATCCAAAGTTAACAATTTCCTTGATGAACTCTTACCATATGTGCACAATTGACCCTACGCTAAGCCACGCCCCGAATACGCAGCTAGCCAATCACAGGACTCATTTAGAACTCGGTCTAACTGAGGTTCAACCCAACTCTTTCATGGCTGAGCTCCACAGAGAGCCTAAGTCACTCGCTTCCGCCCCATGGGACCTTATTTCGGAAACAATATGTACGGTAGTCAATGGCGAGAAACAACTTATTTTTTGATCATGTTTGAACTGTGCCCATATGATGTTTGTCAATTTAAAAGATAATTTTGTCCATCAAGAAACCATTTAATGAACTACATCTTTCGTCTCGCACAATATACATCACCAACATGTTAGCGCGGTAATGCTAGCTTATGTTTATTGCTTGCTTGCTGCTAATTAGATAACTTGGCTATGTTCCACGCAGAAGAGTCACCTGATGTGTTTAATCCAACGACTCGCGGTCCTTTTATCACATCATCCTGTCCTGTAAGTATTTTGATGTTAGCTTCAGCAACGTTAGCTTCAGTCATTAAGAGAAAAAGTTAAGACGTCACATACGCGAATTTTGGGCTTGTGGTCTTTGTAATTATGTATTTTCAAAGTCTTATACCTAAACAGTTTTACATCAAACTGTGACTTTCTTGACTTTGAAATATTAAATTAATCATCATCATACAGAGCACAATTCAGACGGGATCAAAAATTAGTTGTCTCTCGTCATTGACTACTGTTCATATTTTTTCTGAAGTAAGGTAAGCCTCTATATTGACTATTACAAAAGGATTTGTTTCCTGGCCTTTTTTTGCTGTATTTTTCCAAGATATGGTCACAGGCTGTTCCTGGGACACTTGTAATAATTACAATCACTACCCAGAGAGGTTGAAACGAGAAGTCCACAAATCCAGAAAAATGTAGGCTATGGATTGTTCCTAATGTAATGTTAGTTAGCTAACGCTAGCTAACATTACCACTGAATGTATATATGACCCTACTACTGTTACTACTACTGTACTCCTGTACCTAGCTGTACAGGAAAAGTGTTGATCCTAACTATCTTGTTCTCTTTCTCAATAGTGACGTAATGGTTCACTTTTACACTGTGATCGGTAACTAAGGCTTTATCTTTATTTTATTTTTTTCCAGGTCAGTTTGACAGCCTCAATAAAACCTTCAAATGCACAATGCAACTGCAAAACTGAGATCACTTTTTCCAAAAATTAGACAATATTTATCCAGGGAGTGAAATAGGCAGTGGCAACCCCATGTTTAAAGTCCAACAGGTCCAACAGTTTGTCTGTCTTAGCAACAGTAACTAAGGGGCGTGGCTTCATGAAGGGTCCATTCTACGTTTCTGTCAACAGATGTTAAGTTCACCCACCCGTCCAATGAAGGGTCCCAAGATAACATCATCATGTTCCAGGACCCACTTGTCCTAATAGGGTTAAATTGAAAGATAATATACATGTAATAGTGCTGTTTTAAACTGTGATAGTAGCAAGGAGGAGATAAAAGAAAAGACAAGAGGATTTAAAGGAAAGATCATTAGAGAACAAGTTTAAATCAGCTTAGGTGTTCATCTCTGAAAATAACGGAAGCATTTTCATAACAATATGTTAAAAATTTGTGTTGAAGCTTTGAGCCATAGAGCTATGGACTAACATGTTAGAAAGCAGAATCTACAAAGTTCACATACAGAAAAAAGAGTGTGTGTGTGTGTGTGTGTGTGTGTGTGTTTGTTACAACAGTACCTTCAGTATAGGTTTCTTCAACATTATATCAGACTTCCTGGTGATGTGTTGTCGTGAGGATAGCAGATGATGGATCAGCTGCGGGACACTGTGGAAGCTTTCTCCATCCAGACGGTACAGATTCTACTGACACACATGGGAAATAATATACAGAAGTGAAGTCGTGCAAACACACACGAATGAGAAAAACTTCACAGCATAATGAAAAAAACACAACAAAATAGCTTTTTAAATTGTTAGATTGTTAAAATAACTTGTCCTGTACCTTTTTGCATTCATTCTAAACATCTTAAATTCAGTTTAAGTTGCAATTTAACACCAGGTAGAAACCAGCCACATAATGTAATTTACATGCAGTGGTCTTTATCATTCATATATTCAAAAACATATGATTTAAAATCCACACAGAAACACATGAGGCCTATAATGTAAAATGTACTTTCTAGAAAAGTGTTTTGTTCTACTGAGCAGATTTACTTACATCAGTGTTCTGAATGAGGAAATGCTTGCAGGATCCATCCCATTGCACAGAGAGCACATAACCGTGCTTCTCCTGACTCTTCCTCACCAAGAAGTCTCCGTCATTCTTCAGCAGCTGCTGGACTTCCAGTCTGGGAATAGCTCCGTGGTACCAGTCCTGCTGCCCCAGAGGACGATCCACCTCCTGCACCAGGGCGAGGGCCGTTAGAGTCTGGAGACAGAAGCAGAAGAAAAGCAGAAGCATTAAAGCTAACATGAATAATGAAACAATAAGTAAATGCAGATACATTTTAGGGTGATTCTGCAGAGATTATATGGTGATACTTCAAAGGAGAGTCTGTAATACTTCTAAATAAAAAAATATAAAATCTAACTGCACCAACTTCCATGCCTCCAGGGTACCAGAGAGTTCGGAGTTGGAAAGCGAGAAGTAGTTCACACATGAAGAAATGCAGTGAATAATTCAGGCGCATTATAGACAGCAAAATATTATTTGCTCAAGATGATCTTTGTGGGCAGGACAGCTGGGTCATGGCTCTGTGTGCGCTATCGCCTGTCAGCAATGATAAAACAATGAAATGTAAACTGGCTGACTGAGAAGTAAACTTCGTTTTAGGTCAGAATTCCAAAAGGAGTAACTTGACCGACAACACTGACCTCATTTAGTCCAGTTGTGCCTTCAGGAGCACATGACCCCAAAGAAAGAGCATGTGCCTGAGGGAGCTCAGCCGTGCAGAAACTACTACTTTGAAACTCTGGCTCGTTCTCCAAAACATGATGAATTGTTTGTTGCGTGGTAACAGATATGAGTGTACAAAAACAAGCACTCTAGTTGAAGTTAAGGGCAGGGAGGTGGAGAAATGAGAAGGGGAAGTGTCCTTCAACCGAAAATGTTAAAAGTGCCTTTTACAATATCCTTTAACAACATACTCAGAAATAGGCATTGTTAAGTGCGTACAATGTGATGACATACATTGTTTTGTGTGGTATTACTGTGGCTTGGTTGTGTTTCAGTGTTTAACCTACCTCACATTTTGGTTTAAACAGGCCACTCAGATTATTTAGAATCCCATCCATGAGGAGTTTGGGTGAGCTTTGGCTCTGGTCCTGAAAAGAAGATCAAGAGCACATCATGTTGGTCAGTAAATATGTATAACAACTGGCAAAACCAGCGAGTGTCCTCTCTTCCCTCATTTCTTTCAACTCTCTACTGTTACTATCAAAATAAAAGCAAACTAGAGACCATCTTGTGATGGTATCACATCAACAGCAACAGCAAATTGGTTTATGGTGCAATAGAACACGACATGAGAGAAGTGAGTTTGGCAAACCAATTTAATATGCCTAACCGTCCTTGCATGATCAACTTTTAAACTATGTTGACTTTGACACATACAGTATATGTGTTTTGCTGAAATATTCCCTGGTTTGTTGCAACATGGTTAGTCATGAATGTAGAATGTGTCGTTATTGGCAATAGATAAATGATCGGTTGTTTGGCAAGAACAGAAATATTGATTGTCCAACAACAAGCGAATGTAGGCCAGGGGCGTAAAGTGGGGGACCGATGGCCCCTTTCCTATTTCCTACACCCCAATTCCAGCTCCTAGCTCAGACCACACCCCTTCGAACTCAGCCTTCATTTTGATCTCAACTACACACTTGTAAAGTTCCGTAATGGCATCTTGCACAGTTGTGATGCCATCGTGTTTACAAAATCTGTCCACAGACAGACAGACAGACATCTACACCTGGCAAAGTACTCAAAGTACTGTGTCAGACACACACACAGCTTTCGCATCTGGTAAAAATGCTTCAAAAACACTATATTTAATTATTGGTCCAGTTAGATAGAGTTGTTTGGCGGTAAAAAAAAAGCTGGGTTCTTATTATGTAACCATGTGTTTATTAGAACACATGGGTGTCATAGCAACACTTGCCACCCATTCATGCACTGATGGCAGAGGCTGCCATGCAAGGACACTTTGACTAGACTGAGGGCAGCCTGTAATCAAACCAGCAACCATCCGATGACTAGACAACCTGCACTACCACCTGAACCACAGCCACCCCCTAACCTATTAATCGAACAGGTTGGATTTGCTACAGGAATAGCTGCTGGGGTTGGCTACGAGCTGGTGTTAAGTACTGCGTCGCCAGTGTGATCATATTTATCCTAAATGTTGCCTGTAAAAGATGATTAACAAGCAGAGGTGTCTGACATTAGCTTTTTGTCACTAACAGAACATTAAGTTTAGGACTTGGTCTTGACTTGAGACTTAATATCCAAAACAATGACTTTGTCCCACCTCTGTTACAAAAAGTTTGTAATCAGATTTAGTAAGTAATTCTGTCTGGTTAGGTAAGTATAGAAAGGAGTACTGGTTCTGTGGGTTTATACCCAGTATGACCTCTTTCTTCTTCATACAAACACAAATTTGTCAGCATGGCTTGTTTTCTTTATTAAACCTGGCTAACTGACATTACTTATATAATTACGTAATATCATATAATTATATTAGTAGCTAAAACAAAGACTCGGCAGAGAGAACATACATTGCTTGTGTTAGATGAAAGTGAGGTGGTGTCTTGGTCAAAGCTCAGAGCAGAGAAAGGTTCTTTAGAGCCCAGCTGGTCCAGTTTCTCCTTCAGAAGAAGCCTCTGAACCTCCAGCTTGGCTCTCATACCCTGAGACAGAGCAACCTGCTGCCGGCACTCCTCCATTGCATGTCTCTTGCTGAACTGGTAGACCCTGGACAAAGTCACAGAAGGTCAATTAAATTTGTGTAGGGCCTTTTCAGTGTGAGCAAAGGGTTTCACAAGTCAGTAAAACAATACAGGTGATTACTGCAAATAGACAGACCAAGACCATACAGACATCAATAAAAAGTCTGTGAAAACAGGTTTCCAGATGGTTCCTATGACTAATGCAATCAATAAGAAGGCTTCCCTTGCGACAGGTTAGTGTGCCTCCTGGATTTCAAGCATGTAAGACCAGACTTTAATGACCCAGGAGTCCTGCTAGTGAGGTGAAACGAAAAGTTGCAGGGACTCGATTGCTGAGATCCTTATGGCGAAAACACAAGGTCGAACAGACCAGAAATGGCCA